GGATACAGTAATTTAACTGTTAATTGACTCTTTTTTTTTTAAATTTTATTTTTTCTTAAAAAAAATATTTTAATTAATATAACTGTCTTGGCTCAAAATTACTATCTCCAACAGTAATTTAACTGTCTTCGATAATAATATGACTGTATTAATTAATTTTATCGTCTTGACCTGCATTATTGTGTCTTCGACTGTAATATTACTGTTTCCGACCGTAATATTACTGTCTCATGCAATAACATCACTGTTTGAGACAGTAATATTAGTAATATTACTATTCGGGAAAATAATATTCATAATATTACTGTTCGAAACAGTAATATTACTATATGAGACGGTAATTTAGCAGCCAAGACAGTAATATTAATTAAAATATTTTTTTCTACAAAACATTTTCAAGAAAAAAAAAAAAAAAGTCAACGATAGAGAGCGGCGGTCAACTGCGGTTGACCGGCCGGAAAAAAAATTTCAGAAACAAAAAACTTTTCAAAAAAAAAAGTCAACGCCAGAGAACCGCCCGCCGAGCAACGCTGGAATCTGGCCGGAAAAAAAAAATCAGAAAAAAAATTATTTTCTACAAAAAATATTTTTTCAATAAATTATTAAAATGGGGGTTAATGTGATATATTTGTTTAAATTTGGGGTCAATGTGTAATATTAAGGAAGTTAGAGTATAATGGATGGAATTGATAAAAAATATATTATGGAGGGTATTTTAGAGTAAATACATGGGGATGGATTTATTTGAAAGATTGTTGTTTTTGTGGACTAATGTGCATTTAAGTCCTTTATCATGTCTTTTTTTGCCATTTGCCCTAATTATTAATCATTACTAATTATTACTTAAGTTTTAGTTATAGGGGTTTCTATGTATTTTCACTTATAAGGTAGGTATCGTACTTTTTTCATGGGGTTCGTACAAATCATACGTGTCACATTTTTATTGGTTGATTTTCAATCGTTTGGGTCCGAGTAGTACAACCCCTCTCGGACCCTAGATAACCCCAACTTACATAAACGAGCAATTCTAATAATCATTTTATGTATTGGCAAGACACAATGTAAAGTGATAATAAATATACGTATTTAAATAATGTAAAATAGAATATTAAATGCGACATTCATTATTATTAAATAATGTGAAATAAATTGTTAACAAATTTAATATAATAAAATTTAAAAAGTATAAAGAAGTTTTGCTTTGACAAGATACCGAATGTTGTCAGAACTGGACCGGACACAAAACCGAATAGGCATTCGAGTCACGGTTGGAACGGTTTAACCGGGTTCGACTCGGGTTTCTTATTTTCTTACATTTCAATTATTATATTAATTCTAAATACTTTAAAAGTACTATTTCTTATATATATTTTTATTTTCTTACACACTCTTCACTTTTTTTTTATCCAAATTTCCAACTCACTCCATATATTTCTTTTACATAATTTTTTATTGCCACCTATTTTTTCTCTGTTCACTATTCTCTCTCCATTTTGACCACAATTTCATCTCTCGCGTAGCCCCATTTTCCTTCTCCTTCTTCACATGTTGCAGCAGTCAACACCGGTCACAATCCGCTTCAATTTTTTTTAATTCCCCGACCAGCCTATGCAGCCATATATACACTATTTTGAGAAAAACTGGGTTCTTTAACCGGTTTCCGGTTTTCCGATTTTGGACGGTTGAACCGGATTTTTGTGCAATTGACCCCGTGTCTTGATTTTTCCAGGTTTGGAGTATCAACCGGACCGGCCAAGTGCAGGGTTCGACCGTCGAACCGGTCGAACCGGCCATCCCGCTTCGGTTTTAATAACCATGAAGATACCATTATATATATATATATATATATTTTCACAAATCGA